TACGGAGAGTTCTATATTTCCATGCCCTACCAAGACTTAGAGATCATGCTTGCAAAGAAGTAACAAAGGCGTGACTACTGCACCATTGGGCAAGTTATTACGAACATCAGACGCGAGAGAAAGAGTAGTCAGAGATCTTTGAGAATAACTACGAAAATGCAATTTAAATGTGGCCACAACTTGTGATGACTACTCAAAAGACGAAAAATAAGTGCAGTCTGGTGTCTTTACAAGATATTTTTACTTGTCATCTAGCCGATATAAAGCATTTGGATGGCGGGAGAACACTCTTAAGATATTGCAGCCGCAAGAAGTCTAAGGGCTCTAACTATTTATACTTTCGTCCTTTGTAATGAGTTCACAACTAAATAGGATGGAATGAAGTTTCCCACGAATAATGGTTAGTACGTGAGAACAAGGACCACAGATAAACATTCGCAAATGCCGTGATGCTAGACATGGCCATCGCTTCTCAGTTTTCAGTAAAAGTCGTGGAAATGTGGGGCGTTCCCGAAGTAGAAGAACGTACGCATGTAAAAGACACTTTTACAATCCACGAAGCCAATCAATTATAACTTTTTTGCAGGTAACCCCTAAGTCTGCAGTCATTGGGAACGTGGTAAGCCAACTACTTTTACTCATAGAGCATGCCCAGCGTGTCCGCCACCAAGGTATGTATCCCAGCCAGAAGGTGACCGGTGAGATGTCCTCGTTGGCTGGTAACACCTCAAGCGCGCATTGGCTTTCCATCTCTAGCATATGCAACTCTCTAAAAATCACGTGGTCACTGTCCTTGAACGTCTGAAACCATGCCCATATGCGGCCTCTAAAACAGCCAATCACAGGTGTCCACAAACTACAACCACCCAATCGACTCACTAATCTGACACTGACTCACTCTCACGTGACATTTACTCACGCCCACCACCCTGGCGGAGGGACGCGCGCTCGTAGGCTCGGGGTCGGTGGCGTGTCGGAGACTCGGACCACCACCGACCTTCTGTACTGAACGCACGACTCCGACTGCTGTGTCTCCCTTTTCTAAGATGGAACTGAACTACGAATATCGTGGCGCTATGAGTGCACTGACGGCATAGATACTGCAGGCCTTCATAGTGCACATCCTGCCACTGAGCCAATCCCCTGAGTAAATCCTCTCCGTCATTTGGTCTGACGATGGGCCGCCGTAGAATACCCTAAAATGTCGGGTTAACCTTCCGAATGGTCTTCTCTTCCTTCAGCACAGTACCCGAATGCTTGTGAATTACAAATATATTTTCCTATTGGTTTCATATTTCTGAGGCGCTTTATAGCCGACAGGTTCAGCAAACAAGGAGAGGTAGAGGAGTTTACCATTTGATGGAAATGCTATTGGGAGCATCCGCGGTATGAGCGCTGTGCACCGTATACGTTTTCATTTCCCGACGTACTCCTACAACGGGCTACATGGGAGACGCGCTCGACCCATGCGGGGCCACATTAGGGCACGATACGCGTAAATCGGGCTGCGCTGTGCGCGCATCGAATAGCAATTGCTTATTGTAGGTGGATGTAGTCGCACGCCCAGGAGTTGGCCAACGCCACGCTGGCCACTTGCGCCCAATCCCCGAATCAGAAGACGGACCGGATCGCACAGTGGACGGATGCATAGGTGAGGGAAGATAAAGTGAGGTTGACTCTAGGTACTCCGCCCCTGGCGCACTTGAGTGCATTTCCTCACTACAATAAATCTGAAGCGCCTTTAAGGTATCACGATACGCTAAAAGTCTCGGCTTAGAAGGCTGCTCTCAGGGCAGAGTCAAAACACAGTGACACCACTTTAATGTTGTCTATATGGCACTCACTCAGACGGGATCAGAGCCGACCGCTTCATATTTCTGCGAAGACCTGGTCCACGGTGCGCGGACCAGGCGTGTGCGGCACGCGCAGACTGGACGTTTATGTTTGTCAGCGGTAGGCGCTGCGCAAGTCTTCTGTCACTATAAGCTAATTCGCCCTCAAGTCACTGTCTCTGCACCCACCATGCTGTGGGGCACACGGTGGACATCGTCGTCCACAATGGTGGAACTGTTGCATTACCCGGCACATCTCTACATCTCCTGCTGTTAGGTACGAACCATACTTTGGAAATATTCAGACAAAATACTCGCAAGCCGAGTAACGATGTAGAAGAACATACAATATCAAGGAATGTCAAAAAATTACCATCGGTCAGCTAAGCTGTAAAAGTGGTAAACGAATATAGCTATATGAACACTGTCTAGAATTAGATTCCCCTCTCTGTCTTACGTTTTGTCAGTTGTCTAATGGAACTCGTCACCTGAGTGAGAGTCCTTCCTTGGAAGCCGTACTTCTAGATAACCAACTCCTCATAATAGGCAAAAAACCCTGACTTCAACATTGAACAACGCTGGTATAGGACTCACGTTAGGCAAATATTTTCTCAAACCATGAAAGGGCAGAGAGAAGGGCAAGTGAGTAGGTGTCAGCCTCCAAGGACAGTGAAGCGCTAGCGCCCCGTCTAAGGATAAATTTACACACCTACGGTATCCAACCGAGGTACTTGACGGTCAATGTATCGTATAACGACAGACATCGGACCTTTGAATCGTGTCTTTGGTTCGTAGCGAGTAGTGAAAGTTTAAAAAAAAGCGTTTAAGACACCACGCTCAACTGTTAAGCACAAATGCCGTCAGCATCGTAGAACCGCAGTCATCCTATTCTGACGCACTATAAGTGTAGGTGGAGTAGACTAAGTACCGTTACTGAAGTCGACTTTGAAGACGAAAGTAAACTGGGGAGTTACAAACCCGAAAGGTAGTATCAAATATGATTATAGGCAGAGATCCCAGAAATAAACCAGTTGTGTCCGTTTTTATGGTCATAATAGTACAGCTGCTATGTCTGGTTCGAATACTCACCCGACTTCCTGTTGCTGCGCTTTGACTGCAGCTGCAAAATGCAGTTGGGATTGCGAGGCGAGTGGGTTCGTTGGTGATGCAGCTGTTTCACAAGGTCTATACACCACACCGTCATTAATTGTCAGGTGGTTCTGCAGGCCTTGCTTTGGTAGACGAGCACTCTCGGATATTGTGTTCGGATCCTGATCCCAGGATGACATTCCGTGAATTCCTGAGTCGACACTTTCGCTGTCTTCCGTTTCCTCCTTCAGTGAGGACTCAGTTTCATCAAGCATGCCTTTCGAGAAACTCTCTCTGCCTGAGCTGTCATCAGCTTTTACAGCATTTTCAACATCTCCGCCGCTATTATTTTCTTCATCGCAATCATTGCTATCATTCTTCTGAACTGCTACTTCAGATTTTGCGACAGGATCCCCAACTTTGAGGCCTAGCTCCTTTAGCTTCTTCAAAACGTACATAAATGGATCATCCGCCTCTACAACGGATACTCCATCATCCATATGCTTTAGCAATCTGTGCTCGGAGCCATTGCTCTCCAATGAACTCGTGCTGGCGCACAGTGATTTCGTCTCTGTAAATTCGTGTTTCGCCTCCTCCAGCAATAACTCAATGATGCCACTTTTGTCCCAAAGAGAAAAATCGCACTCCCTAACGCTGGGAAGGTCACCAGCCGCAAAAGTCTTTATTGCGTTTATCTCCTCCATAAACATTTCTAACAACTTAGGGTTGACATTGCACACTTTGCACATATCAGCCACGTTTCCAAAGGGGGGACGAAGTCCTACTAATCCATTTTTCTCTGACCTCGCATGATCGCAGAAGTTCCAAGCAAAATTCTGCTCTTCCTCATTTGTAGAAGGCCTTACAGCCGCGGCGAAAAGTCCCGAAATTCCCTTGAATCGCTTTCTCCGCGCATGCCATTGGATGACATTTGAATAGTCTTGCCCATCAACGGCATAAGGAGGGGTTTCAGAATTATTGGTGGCGGTCGCAGAGATGCACGCCCTATCAGAATGCCTGAACGATCTAATCTCTCTGTCCAGGAGGTATTGCGTAAAATCTCGATCACTTTGGCCTCTCTTATTCTCGACTACACCAAAAGAGTGACGCTGGCCCATACCATTTGTCCACCAGTCAGGCAGATATACAGGCACGTGCGAGGTCAAATTTACGATCAATATTCGGCGTGGTGTTTCGTAACCGCAATGCACCTGGTGGGGCTTGTGCAGATGGGGTACCCTAACTAAATGGGAAGTTGTGAACTTGCATCCTAGCCTCTCACTAAATGCAGACAGCAGATTACACCCCATCCTGGAGGCGTTAAAATCCTGAGAAAGAGGAGACTTACCGCAAACGAGCACTTCGACAAGGTGTCAGTCGATCATTCTACCATATCCAACAACGAGATTGGGGTTCTGTAGCTTGCGTTTGTGTTGGAAACGCATATATATGATCAGACAATTAGGTCTGATCAAGGCACTTTTGACGCGGGACAAAGTCTTATTAGCATATCTGGGTGGGACAGGGGAATAAGTATTCCCGTACTACGGGAGGCCTTACGCTAAAGTCCAAGGGGCTAGTGTTGGGGTTAGGAGGGTTACGATTAGGCATGTTAGTGTCAGGATTGCGGTTTACACTGGGGTTTGGGTTAGAGTTAAAGTTAGGGCACTGGAATAGGTAACCCCACTCCCGGAATGTGGCGCAAGACCACCTGCAGTACTGGAGGGTTCCTATTCCTGTGTCCGATCGTAATTGGAGACTAATTCATACAGTAGTATTGATCATTAGCCTACGACAGTGTCTCTGGTTTTCTTCCTAACGTGACCCACTTGATGGGGTCACTTGCCCGCCTGTTAAGCGTCCCGCCATCTCGCGTAAATCGACGGCATAGGTGGCCGCCTCACTGGCAGCCAAGACCAGCGGCCAGTGACGCTGTATTCAACATCACTCGTGATATATTTTCAGTTCATTACATGGGCGGAATCTATCACGGTAGTTATGTGTACCGTGACTTCACTCTTCACCAATTCCCTAATTCCCTTTGTCGCCCAAAAATGTGGTTTGGCCTTTATAGTTTGGACTGCCCAGTCGGATAGTTGAACCGTAAGCACAGATTTTTACTTACCAACGTTAGCCGTTTTGGTATCTGGCAGTGAAGGATCAGCCCTAATCTATGGATTGCTCGTTTTACAAGCTACTGTCAAGTAAACAGTAGGCTGTACGGTTGTGGCTCTGGCTAGATGACTTAAATTACGGGTTACGAGTGCGTTGCATCTAACTGTCCTACTCTGAGTATTCATAAAACTGGAGGCTGGTGTAAGAGGCCATGCCTGCTTTGGTGTTGTATGACATGCTCACATGGACATTTTCACAACTTTGGTTTCTTTAAGTATAGGAGAACTTAATTTTACCAGTCGGTCCAAATTCAGGATGACAGTTTGCCTGGCTACTCGTACTAATTCTGCTTTGGGACATGGTACCGGTAAAAATTAGGGACACTAGAATGGCCGGTTCTGGCATACTAGCCGTTATCAGCCGATGGTATGTCCACATTGGGTGCTTACTTACGCAGAGTTTGGGCTCGGGTCAAATTCGAATTTGTACGTTTATGTGCAACGCTCCTTCCGTTCCAACTACCTAGCGCGCCTTCTGAGAGCTGAAACGAGAGTTTGCTGTCCTATCAGAGTGAGGTCGGCCGACTTATCTTGCGTGCAGAACGGAAGTGAACACTGTAAGCGTTCCGTAGCGCCTCGGGTGCAGAGTCCATCCGGACTGCTGAGTGTCAGCTAACAGTCACCGACAAATGTTACCTCAGGAACGACATTAAAGGACTTGACGACGTCTAAATCTTAAATTCACTGGTTTATTAACGAAATCTTAGAAGAATCCAAGCACTTGTCAGCGGTCAGCATCGTCTCACACCCTTAAGGAAGCAGGGATATGCATTGCATGTGATAAAGTGTCAACATGGAACGGATACGGATAATCGCACCAGGGTCTGGCGCCTATAAAGCTGACAGCCGCGTCTGGCCGACTTATCTGATTTTGTTTATCTGAGCGTAACCGAACATATTTGTGTATCAGAACGTCCCAAATGTGCAGCAGATCCTAGGGGCTCAATGCAGACCAACAGGCTGGTTTTTAAAATCGCTACAATTAGTTACAGTTAGGAACGGCAGGCTGTCTATGCGATAGGTTTCATACAATTCTATATGCAAAGGCATGACGCACATATTAAGAGGTTGAAGTGGCAACCACTTCATGCTCCTTTCTGTTTATCAAAACGAGTGGCCGTCTTCGTCCGCTCCCGGAAGTCTAAGGAAGATGGTGGGTGTAGTCTTGACGGACTGGGAAAACTTCAGTCCTCTAAAAAGCGCAACCAAATGTCCAGCTTTTGAAATTAGTTTGCTGGTTGTAAAGGAAGACGAAACAACAAAATGACCAGTTTGAATCGGGGCTAACTCGCAATGACCTCGTATGAATGTGAAGAAAATCCCGTAAGGAAATTTTGTGATCTTTAAAAGATACAGTCATGATCGCAGCACGGCACTGTTTAGTAGCACAACGTCAGCCTAAATTAGCGAGCGAAAAAGGTGAAATTCCCCACATAAGCCTAACATGTGACGAGTATCAGAGAGCAAAATTTGTTACCCTGCAAAGGATATTTACATATCTCAAGAACTGTAGTTAAAAGACCGGAAGTATGTGAACAGACAGGAGCTAGTCATGAGTGACAGGTACGAGTATACACATATATATATATATATTTGAAAAGTTAAATTGACTTTTCAATTGTAACCTGGGAATATATGTATTTCGCGCGATTAGTTTAAGTCAGCCTACAGTGTGATCTTCGTCAACGGCGAGGTTCACCAAGCTAGTGCTCCTAGCGTGACGTACCTGGTTTTCTCTATTGAGGAATGCAGTGACGCATCGCGAGGATGTAGTCCGCGGTGTCGACCTCTATCAGTCTTTCCTCTCCCGCGTACAGGTTTGCGGTCCGAGCCTGTCAGCCATTTGATTAGGGGGTTTGGCGTATCTGCTGACGAGCATTGAAGCTTACGTCTAGGTGTGCCGAAGCAGCCCCCTCCCATGTGCAACATTAACCACTGGTTCGCTCGCGCTCTGCGCTGCCTGATTAACGCGTCCCGTGAGCCTGTCAGACGGCCTCGGGTGTGCCCCACTTCGGGGTTGGGTATGACTGGCTGACGACGAATAATAAGCCAGAAATGACCACTCCAGCCTCCCTTGTCTTTGTCGGTAATACCATTCTGTCTATATAATGCGCCGCTGTGTGACTGCTGGTTAGGCTCGAGAGAGAGAGGAATCGCGTAATGCACAACTTAACGAGTGAGTTCCGTAGAAACGATCGGTGAGCGCCCCTCTACCACTGTATATTCCCAATCGCAATCAACAGGACAGCACGCCCGTGGCTCAGGGGTTACAGGCGTTGGACTTCTAAATAACAGGTCACGAGATCGAGTCCTGGCGTTTCACACTTCCGGGTCAGGTATGACTGATTTGGACTCGGTTTGCTTGCTTTTGTGTTCTTTGGTTTCCCATAGTCGGTCGCAGCGAAGGTCAAACGGCCGAAGGCGATCTTCGTTTGCATTATCCAATTCGCCTACGACGACGTATCCAATAGCGTCCAGTGTTGGTCTTGGGGAATCCGCTGGACATAGCATCAACATCCAGTCTTGTTTTGTGACTGAGCCCTTCCCTTTCTGTTTGATTTAACGTATAGTTCTTGCTTGGGAAAGCGCGAGCTCGCTGGGTATCACACCGACATTCCGGTCGCGAGTTCGAGCATCGGGTGTGCCACACTTCGGGGTTGGGTGTGACTGGCTGACGATGGCTAATAAGCCAGAAGTGACCACTCCAGTCTCCCTTGTCTTTGTCGGTAATACCATTCTGTCTATATAATGCGCCGTTGTGTGACTGCTGATTGGGCTCGAGCGAGAGCCCGTAAGGCACAACGGAACGGATGAGGTCCGTAAGAACGATCACTGAGCGCCCCTACCATTATATGGCACACTTTTTTCGATGGCGCAAAAATGTCGCGTACAAAATACTGACCTCCGTCGAGTTATAGAAGCTTCGCCATTTGAATGCGGTTTGAAATTCTGGAGGTCAGCAGTAAGATTACTAGCCATCCCCTACCGCGCGATAACTGTTGCATGTGCGAAGCGAGGCACATTTAACCGACTTCCTGCCGTACTGACATCAGCTAAAGCGGCCGACAAGTCGGCAGAATGACTGCGCAACCAAAGGGCGTGGTTATCGGGCGCTCCCGCGTGACAACGGCACGCGGCGCTACGCCCTAAACGGAGACGGCGTACATTTAGTGGGGCCTGGCACGGCTTGCTGTCAATGCCACGTATGCGGCTAGCTAGCTGTTAGGAGCGTGATGTCGGTTCGGTTGACTTGCCAGACAAAGCACAAGTTCCGTTTAGGATTCGGGATTGTGAGATCACGGCAGTCAATCGAGTGGAAGCAGAGAGGGGGAGATACTTGAAGACGGCAATTACACCGTGCAGCTGAGGTGACAAACAAGACGCAACAAGAGCAGAAAGAACAGCTGAGGGCATAGCTGACCAAACTTGAAAATCAGAAAAAAATTCAGTTTATTTTTGTACGACACGGGCTATTATGAGAACGAAAGACCTAGTCATTTGGAACTCTCGTCACTCGATAAAATAGTCGCAGAGAT